TTTTAACATATAATGTATTATTTGTTTCAGAGGTACAGGTCTGTGATTCAACAGTCTTACACAATTAACAGCACTCACCATAGCACATACCCTCCCCAATGTCTATCACCCAGCCACCCCACCCCTCCCATCCCCCACCACTCCAGCAACCCTCAGTTTGTTTCCTGAGATTAAGAACCAGGGTTTTTTGAAATGTGTAGAGACCATGCATGCAGTAAAAGGCCTGAACTTTATTGCTGTGGTATTGCAGGGAGTTTTGTATATTTCCAATATTATTACAAACAATAATGCAATTTATATCTTTCAGCATGATAACAGCTTAAATAGGCTTACTTGTCAATTAAGAATTACAGCACTAACATCTAATTTATTATTCAGGAAAATGTGCGTGTGTTTTAAGAAATTAAGTATTTTGTAGATTATGCATTTAAAAATTAGTACTGGGAGGGAAATATTTGTAAATCATGTATCTGGTAGGGGACTTATATCCAGAATATATAAAGAGTTATTACAACTTAACAATAAAAATGTACATTACCCAATCAAAAAGTGCTCAAATTATTTGTATGCACATTTCTCCAAAGAAGATATACAAATGACCAATAAGCAAATGCTTATTATCATCAAGCTAAAAAATGCTTAGTATCGTTAAGCATTAGGGAACCCTAAATCAAAACCACAATGAGAGCCACAAAAACAAACAAACAAACAAAAAATTGGACCCCTCATACATTTCCAGGGGAATATAAAAATGACAAATCTTTGGAAAACAGCTTGGCTATTCCTCAAATTATTAAATATAGTTTTACCATGTAACCCAGCAATTTTACACTAGTGTAACTATTCAGAGGAATTGAAAACATACATCCTCACAAAAACTTCTACTTGGTAGCAGCATTATTCATGAAAATCAAAAAGTGGAAGCAACCCAAATATGTATCAGCTGATAGATGAATGAACAAAATTGGTATACCCATACTATGGAATATTATTCAGCCATGAAAAGGAATGAGGTACTGATGTATGCTAAACATGGATGAGTCCTGTAAACATTATGCAAAGTGAAAAAAGCCAGGCAAAAAAGCCATATTTTTTTTATGACTTCACTTATATGAAATGTCCAGAATAGAAAATTCCATAGAGACAGAAAGAAGATTAGTGGTTGCCAAGGACTGAGGCAGGGAGGGAAACAAATTGAAAGTGATTTCTGATGGGTATGAGATTTTTCTTTTGGGTGATGAATATGTTCTAAAGTTAGGTAGCAAGGACAGTTGCACAATTTTGTGAATACACTAAAAAACACAAGATTGTACACTGTAAAAGGGTGAATTTTATGGCATATAAATTGCATATCATAAAAGCTATTAGTAAAAAATATATAGAGCAAGTGATTCAGAAAAAATGGCCTAAAATGCTTTCTGGGGTAAAAATACCTTTGGAGGAGGGGCAATAGTGGAAAAAAGGTTTGAAAAACTTTGTTCTACAGATTACTGAATGAGAGCTGGTTTTGATTTTTGATTATTGGTTTTCTTTACTGTGTACTTCTTAATATTTTATTTTGAGCATTAAAATTCGAGTGAAATGGTGAAAAAATTAGTGCTTCCACAGATTTTCTGTGACATGTATTCTGTTTTATTTTAGAATAATCACAAAATGATCTTACATTTCTGTATGAGAAATAAAAATCCCTTCCTGGCTGTTGGTGATGAAACTTTTGTTTCTTTTTTCTCTGAGGCGTCTCAATAATAATGAATTCACAGTGTTGGAAGCTACAGGAATCTTCAAGAAACTTCCGCAGTTACGTAAAATGTAAGCTGTGCATTAGCCACTTTTTAAAATTTCTGTGGTGTTCTGTTGTGTTTTTCAAATCCCTGTGCAGTTTTATTCAGATTTCTTTGGAAATTGGAAACTATAAAAGATGTGGAGAAATTTCCGTACAATGACTACCTGTGACATGAATTTAGAGTAATTTCTAAGAGGACCCTGAGTAATCACCTCTTTTCTGTGTATTCAAGGATGCCAGCCACCTTTTGTAGCAAAGCCCTCGCATCTTACTTTAATTCAGACAGCCGGTTTGTTATGTGGCCACAGCAGGAATTCGGCAATCTAAGCTCATTAGAAATGGGTTCAATAGTGTTTTGTAACTTCCTTTACTATTCCCTAAACCATGCTGTTATATCTCTTTCAGCACATTCATGTCAACTATTTGACTTTTTGCTTCATTAAACTTTCATTAGAAGATAGTCAAAATTAATGATTGGTAAACTGGCTTGATAGCTCATCTGTGTTACTACATATCCACAACTCATATTTTAAAACAAGTTTATAAACTCAGCAGTTCCAACATCAATCAGACAGTATTCTTCTCCCCTGAGGAGGAGGGAGGGAGGGACAGAACAGAGGTCAAGCATGTCAGGCCAATGGAACAACCTTCATACAAGAGAAAACATCAAAAGGAGAAAAGGAGTGTTGCTTTGTAATATCTGTGCTTTTCTATGTGTGAATGGCCCACGGTCACATTGACTATCTGTGGCAGAGCAGACTATGTCCTGTGCACTTGACCCCCTTATTATACTGCCTCCCAAAGAGTTTCTTATTGTTTGATTGTTCTCATTTTCAGTGACATTGATTGCTCTTTCGTTTTATTCATACCTTTCGATTCAACACATATTTATGGAGCAACTATTGCATGCAATGCTCTGAGAGAAATAAAATGATCCATAAAAATGACCCTTGTTCTGGGGGCATTCCTGGTCTTGGAGGGAACAATGAGAAAGAGAAAAAATAGAACCTATAGGAAGGTGTTACCTCACCTGGATATTTTTGCCCTTTGGCCAAGCATTGTCCTGTTTTGTATCATACAAAATATGGACAGTTAAGTTGGATGTTTTGACACATGCTTACAATGAGAGGTTTAACTGGGAACAAACCCATATTCAGATACATTTCTGATGTGATCTAAATGCTCACACACTTAACCCATCCTTCTTCTTTCTACACAACTGCCTTCTTTTAGTTATTAATTCATTCAATATTTATCAGGGGCACTTATTTTAAAAGTTCCTTATCAAGTTTTGTGCTGAATATTAAGGTTTATACAACTCAATACCAGACCTCAAGAACTTTATATTCCTGGGGACTCTTGCAGATCATTTTGAAATGGATTGGGCTGGTATTTTTCACCACCCACCTTCTCCCTCAGTACTATCATCAGTTTGACTTGATAAAAAAATAGAAAGTGGTGTCTTTACAGAGCCTTGGGTGTGTTGGGCAGTGAAGAGCTTGGAAATTATGAAAGACCTTGCTCCCTAGAAGAAAAGGATCAAACATATTGTCTCAGTGCCCTCGTTGTTAGAAATAGCTTAAAATCTTGTTTCAACAATTTTTTTTATTTAGAAACTTTAGCAACAATAAGATTACAGACATTGAAGAAGGAGCATTTGAAGGAGCTTCTGGTGTCAATGAAATACTTCTCACGAGTAATCGCTTGGAAAATGTTCAGCATAAGATGTTCAAGGGATTAGAAAGCCTGAAAACTTTGTAAGTATTTTGATCTGCATAGTGACTTTTACCACAGCATTGTAGTTCACTGGTCATTATAATTCTGGGCTGGGGAATAGTGCGGACTTCTCACCCTCCCATCTCTGTGTCTGTCTCTCACAAACACACAAACACAAAACACATGCACACACACACATTTTGTGCATGCAAACATTCCCTGACTCGAATACCCCTGACTTCAGTGTGTTGCTTTACAAAGATCAAAAATGTCTCCTGGCTGCTGCTGATTTCTCAACAAAAAAAGATTGCCCTTCTTCCAACGCTGGTACAGATCTCTCCCCGCCCCCGCCCCCCGCCCCTTCTGCCTCAGAATGTTCATCCTCTTGCATCTTCCTCAGCCTCCATCTAACATTCACTTTTGGCCCCCGGGCTTGAGCTTCAGAATCCAATTGAAACCCTGTGGCAGAATAACTAACAGTTTATCTGGAAACCACCTTCTTTCACTCCTGTGAAGTCTTAGTGAAAAAGAGAGACTGACTCATGGTAGATCTTGTACTATCTATTTCAAAGAAACATGCTAAGAGATATGTCCATTTGTTCAGGGGTAGGGAAGTTAGGAAAAAGAAATTCTATATGTTTCCAAAAAAGTTGTTGGCCAAAGAGGACAGGGATTGGATTGAATAGCAAAAACAACACTTTGTTACTTGAATTTTCTACAGTGCATATATTTAGTTTTTATGATCTCTAAAGTATATATTATGTTTGACAAAAGTGGCAACCTAAAAATTGGAAGAGACACAACCCAAAACTTGGAAGCCTTTGGAAGACGTGAAGGAAACTACTTGTAACCAAGAAGCTGCTGATGGTGATTGCAGTGGAGAGAGGTCCAAGCTCCACCATGTCTCTAAACCATCACCCCGCCCCTCAGAGCCACAATCAGGGTGACTGTAGCTGAGAAGCCCCCTGCCTGCTCAATACCAGATGCAGAAGAAGACCATTTCCCCAGCCAGTGTGGATGTGTTCATAGCTTCCTAAATTCAAATCCTCCTGAAAAATCTCTGCCCGTGAACGTAGACGTGTGCTCCTTGAGCTTCACAGGGAGAGTGTGGCATTTAACTTCCAGTAGGTCCTGCCTGCAACCCTTCTACAGACTAACTTGAGCCCCTTCAAAATGTTATGCAAATATTCCTTTAGCCTTTTTATGGAGGAGATACCGAGGAGAGGGGAGGGGAGAGCAGAGAAAATGCACCCCAGGTGGATTCATCTACTCCCGCTCCCCCTCTGCCCACAGGGCTGCCTCCGGCAACTCAGCAAAACAGGAATCCAGCAAGCAGAAGCCTCCTTTGTTGGATACTAGTTGGGGGACTACTTGTTACGGGAACCTTCTCTTTGGAAGGGGCAGCATGAGGGATGGGGAGAGGTGGGGAAGGAGGCGGAAGGAGTCTGTATCCTACCTACGTTAGTCTGCCTTGGGCTGCCATAACAAGATACCACAGACTGATGATTCAACAACAGAAATTTGTTTTCTCACAGTTCTGGAGGCCAGAAATCCAAGATCAAAGTGCTGAGAGGGCTGGTTTCTGGCAAGATCTCCTCTTGGCTTGTAGATGGTGCCTTCTCACTCTGTTCTTATATGGCCTTTCCATGTGTGCGGAGAGAGTGAGCTCTTGGTGTCCCTTCCTCTTCTTACAAGGATGTGAGTCCTAACAGATTAGAGTCCCACCCTTGGGACCTCATTTAACCTTAATTACCTCCCTCAAGGCCCTCTCTCCAAATATAGTCACTTGGGGGTTAGGGTTTCAACGTATAAATTTTAGAGTACAGAGTCAAGTTCATAACACCAAACTAGGCAGCTCATTAAAGTGGTTTTTTCTGACTAGTTCCATTTACAGGACTCTCCCTGAGACAAGTCATCCTTCATTATATTTCTAGAGATGTTATTGTGCCTCATATTTGGCACGTAAGACAGATGCCCCTGGCTGTCTCCTTCAGCCACTCTGCTACACAAGAATAATAGAGCATTTTAGAGCCAAGCTCAGAGTATTCAAAGGACAAAAGTAGGTTTGTCTGGACATATATATTTCTCCAAGTGTTATCTCTCCGCTTGGAACTGTGAAGATTGTGACAAGGTGCCCCACTATCCCTAGACTTCTTAACTCTGTAGGACTAGTAAACCTCTTAGTAGTATGAGCACAGATTTCAGTGAGGTTGAATATTTGACCTTGCAGGCAAAATGTAGTACCTATGTGTGCTTCTGGATTTTTCTAGCAACAGAAAGCAAAGCCTTCTTCAGCTTCTCCCAGGGGTCCGTGACTTCACCAAGATTAAGAACAAGTATTCTTTGTCACTTACAGCAAATGATAGTGCTGATAGAAATACCTTTCTGTTCTGCATTTGCTTCCGAACATAAAATGATGCCTTGATAAGGATGGCATCATTCTTTCTCTCTATCTGTGACTTAGCAGATCACCCAAATTGATATTTCTTATTTATTTCTATAGATAAGATAAAATTCTAGAATTTTATTTTTTTTTAATTTTTTTTAAATTTATTTATTCATGAGAGTCAGAGAGAGAGATAGAGAGAGGCAGCGGCAGAGGGAGAAGCAGGCCCCCCGCCCAGCAGGGAGCCCGATGCAGGACTTGATCCCAGGACCCTGGGATCGTGACCTGAGCCGAAGGCAGATGCTTAACCATCTGAGCCACCCAGGCGTCCCAAATTCTAGAATTTTAAAGGAACACTCTGTTATTCATTTCTTTTTGCCTCTGTTTTATATACTGCAATCTTCTAGTAGGGTAGGGTGGTCCACACATGTCTAGAAAAATTAAGGGAAATAACTTTTCAGCCTTATTTCTCAATAAGATTCATGGCAACTGTTCATTTTTACGTGGGGGTTTTTAAGGAATTTTTCACTCCTTTTCTAAGCCCCACAAAAAAACAGTTCAACAGAGAATTAAGAATGGAGCCAAAACTTCAGCAGTGACGAGGAAATGACAAGTGTTAATCCTCTTAATGGCAATGACTAAAAAATGTTTTAAAAAGGTCAGAATTCTTTCAAGAGAAGCCTATTTAAACTTCACTGTGAACAACTGGAATCTGTTAATGATTGCCTCTTTTTAAGTTCCAAACTTTAAAACAATAATTTTCATAAATAAAATAATTTGTGCAAGAATTGTGGGTGCTCCATCTCGTTTGGGTTCCCAGCTCGTGCTAACATTAACTTGGCCTGTGAGTCCTTGAGGTGCCCTCAGTTCTTCATCTGCTGTGACTATTGATTCTTCTCTGCTTCCTCTCTGTTAAACCTCGGATGTAATGCTACCGTGAATACACAGATCACATGGCTTCAAGGGCTCAGAGAGCTGTAGGTGAATTGGGACATTATGTAATCAGGCAAACACAGTTACAGCATCAGAGGAAAGAACATCCTACCCTCATCAGATGGGAGATGGGGCCAGGAGTCCACGTGAGGCTCACTGGTCTCTTCTGTAGCGCGGTGTGATCATTGTAAGCTACGCATTTTATTCTCACGCAGTTGTTGGTGTACATCTGCAGTGATTCCTAATGACAAGAAATCATTCAGAAACCAGTTAACGAATGTTGCACATTTGCAAAGAGGGGTTATTTGGGTCCTCGGATAGGCAAAGCGGATTGCTTGATGCTTTCTCTCCATAACCATGTTCTCTTTTCCCTCAGGATGTTGAGAAGTAATCGTATAAGCTGTGTTGGCAATGATAGTTTCGTAGGACTGAGTTCTGTGCGTTTGCTTTCTTTATATGATAATCAAATTACTACCATTGCACCAGGGGCATTTGATACTCTCCATTCTTTATCTACTCTGTAAGTATGAAGGATAGTGTTCATTTATGCATGACTGACCCAGTGTATTATATTTCGTACTTTTATTAATAGCATTTTAATGCGTTATTAGGCATTTCACAAAAATGTAATCAAGTGTTTATGGATCAACAAAATGTGTCCATGTTCAGCTTATTTTAATTTTTCTAAAAATATTACCTACTATTTTATATGAAAATTTAGCAAAAATTTAACTATTTTTCCATTGACTCTTTTATAATAATGTGATGTGACGTCATTTATAGATTTTCATTTTATTATAATTTGATGGCACTGCACATCACAGAAATGTTGTAGATTTTCCCTGGTGTTCTCACAATGGAGTCTTTTCAGCCCAAGTATCATAAAAACAGAGCTTGATAGGGTTATTGCCAACAAACTATGCTCAGAAGGATCATTCGCGGTGACAGGAGCTACATTAGGATGACCCAGACCAACAATAAAAACTGTTCACTAGAGGGCATTTACTATGATATTAGGAAAATATTGAAGAAATAGGTTGAGCCTGTCCAAGAGGACATTTTATGTAGACAGTTAGAAAATAAAGAATATTTGTTGGTCTGTAGACACTCAGAAGGTGTTTGTTTGTTTGTTTTTTAAAGCCCTTTTCAGTTCTCTTAAATGTCAGTATCTAAAAAGCAATATTTGAGATGATAAATCTTGTAACGGATTTGATTTCCTAGTAACGATGGCATCTAAATATACTAATCTAACTCAAAAGGTAGTTAGAAAGAAAAAAAAATGTCCAACATAACTCAAGTGATTGAAGAAATAATTTGAGGGAAGCATCCATCCATCAGTAAAGTACTTAATCCTCTTTCCACATAAAATGTGACACTTTACATTGAGTGACTAATTTGTGCATATTAAAGATAGCATGTTTATAAATAATAAGGTTGTCAGTAGGTTTGTGCTGAAGTGGTGAGATGCCAAAAGTATTGAGATTTGTAGAAGTAAATTCATTTTTATAACTGGCATTTAATCAACTCAGCTGTCAGTTTAGATGGGAAACCTATTCTCTGGAGCAAATAAGAGATGGAAATCTTGAAATGACAAATTAATGAAGTAGCTGTTGTCAGGTTAAACTCAATAATATAAGGTAATCAGCCTTCATCTTTATATTAAATTATTGCATTATCAGTGAAGGGAAGTTTGACAGCAAGTCAGATCGCTGATGAGTTTAAATTATCTCTAAATGAGATCTCTATCAGGATCCACTGCATAAACCCCAAAATCGCTGCCTTTGCTTTATTTTCCACATGAAATTATTTGAAGAATTCTTATGTAAAAGTGTTGTTATTTTTTTAAGTTCCAAAAATACATATTTTAGCCAAAAAAAATGCATCCCATATGTTGTGTGTGATTATGAATGGGGGAAAGAGACGGGGAGGGGCGCGGGGAATACAAAGAATAAGAATGAATCATTCCAGCAGAAGAAGTGTGGGGAAAAATGGTAGCATGGTGTTTTGAGAAGGAACAAAGTGAAACCCTAAACTCAACCCTGCCTTGTTTGCATGCGGCTCTTAGAAACCTGTTGGCCAATCCTTTTAACTGCAACTGCTACCTGGCTTGGCTGGGTGAATGGCTAAGGAAGAAAAGAATTGTAACCGGAAATCCTCGCTGTCAGAAACCATACTTCCTCAAAGAAATCCCCATCCAGGATGTCGCCATTCAAGACTTCACCTGTGATGATGGTAAGAAAGCCTTGCTAAATCTTCCGGCACCAGGCATTCACGTGACCAGTCTGATGCTCTGGGGCCCAGCTAGAACAGTGTGTCCTAGTTCAGGCAACAGATAATTTTGTGCATTTTTTGCTTTTGTTTTGTTTTGTTTTGTTTTAGAAACAGGGCACATACTTCCTCAGACTTGCTTTTACATCCACGTCCCCTTGATTTGTGTTTCTGAATGTTTTATTTAAATTTTCCAGTTTCCAACTTGTGGTTGGTACTGTTTATGTAGTTTCATTTTACCTGTATTATTCTATGCCTCTCTTTTAGTAACTGCCATTTGCAAAGGAGAAAAGCAATTGACTTAAAAAAATAGAAATTCTAGGAAACCTAACGAAAATAACAGTTTTCACTTTTTAATGCTCTGTATGTATCACCATATTTGATTCTTGTAATAGCCTTGTAAGGTAGCAGGTTTTGTTATTACTGCCAGGGAATGGAGAGCCCCTTTGAGCCTTATATTTTAAAATGGGGGGGCCTGTCCATTTTCTGCTAAACACTTTAATCTACCCCCTTTATGTCGCTGCATGTCTGTGTCCTTATAATTTCTCCATAATTCAGTGTAAATTTACATATTCTCATTATAAGTGTAATTTGTATAAATAACCTAACAAAGAAAATTACTGTTATGATTGGAGGGATGATATAAATTGTTGAGCTATTTTCTGGAATTCGGCCCTAGGCAATCTGAAAGCGGTGCTGTATCCAATGGATGGCATCAATTTGTAAACATTCCATGTGCTGTGTGTACTGAAGTGAGCTTGTGGCTCAAGACTCTTGTGTTTGTTAAGCTAAAACCATAACATCCCTTCTTGCATTTTCAAAGCCACACATCTGGGTTTTCCTGTATTTCTTTTGGCAAATCAGGCAATGATGAGAGTAGCTGTTCTCCACTCTCTCGCTGCCCCACGGAATGCACATGCTTGGATACAGTGGTCCGATGCAGCAACAAGGCCTTGAAGGTCTTGCCCAAAGGTATTCCCAGAGACGTCACTGAATTGTAAGTAGAGCTTGCCTTTCTGTTTCCTTAACAATTAATATTTCAACAGGGGAAATGGAAACCAAACAAAAATCTTCAGAGTCTTATTTCCAAATTCTATTCTACAGGCCATTAAATAGTATCATGTAAACCCCTAAACAAATAATATAAAAGCCAGTTTAGATACACTTGGGAAATGCTGGTTGTGTGTTTCTCTCTTATTCATTGTAGGATTTCTCAGTGTCTATATTATGCTAAGGTACACTATGAAGCTCCAAAAGAGGGTGGTAAAATATAAGATAGCTCCCATACTTGTTTGTCCCTATAGTCCTTTTCTCCTGGACCATCTTGCAAGATTCATGTTCCATCAAGTACACCTTGGGAAATGCTGTTTATTTAGTTTATCTACATTGTCTGGGATAATCCATATGGTTAATTATTCTTTACCACTGTGTCCACTGGGAGAATAGCTTCCCACATGGGATACATAAATATCTAGGATGTAGAAGAAACTGGCATAATCTTTATCCTTAAAAAAGACGTACTGCCCTTTGGACTTGAATTAGAATCCTTTAGATCATGAAGGGTGTGGAGCCAATTATCCCTAACATTTTCATATCTGATATATGACCACAGATGACCTGATCAGTGTATACTCATCTAGATACCAAGCACCATGCACACTTTCTTAGCTGCCTCGTGTTATATATGTGGAATGGAATAAATCCAAGGACAAGCTGCTTGAATAATATGATGCATGCGTGCTCCATTCCATTACATAACCTGCATACTAATGTACCAGGAACAAATGCTTGGTATGAGTGCAGTTGAGTCATTTTGCCTCTGTTTATTTTTTTCTGTGTGGAACTATGCATCAAAAATGATTTAAGTTCCAATGTAATTTGTGCAGATGTGTCCCTGTAATTCATGCCCATGTGTGCAAGCATTCTAAATGAGCAGCTTTGATAAACTTTTGGCAACATGGAACGTAGGTAATGACTTTCAAGAAGATGTCACTTCAGTCATCAGAGAACTTATTTGCAAATCATGTGCAGTTCTATGAACCCTAATTTGGTCCTGAATTGAACACTTAGGGGAAAAGAAGGTGTGATCTTAGCACACATACACAGAAGGTCCCTCTTAGATTTGAACAGCTGTGAAGTGTTCCGTTTCTCTCTTGCACTGCAAGTCACAGTTGTTAATTGACTATAAGCACTACTTTGTGTGTGTGTAATTAAATACTTAATTCTTACTTTAGTAATTATTTATTTCAGAAGATTACTCTCCATCCAGCTAGATGCCTTTAGAGTATTCTGTATGCAAAGCATTGATTCTGGGAACACCCCAGCCAAGAACACAACACTCAGCATAACCAGATTATCTTGAACTCGGAATCCCTTCTTTTTACCTGGCCCATACCTTAGTGCTTCTCCCCCCGATGCCTATCAAATAATTTTAAACGTTCTTTAATTTCCTTATTAAACTACATCTGAGAACCTTTTTGATTCATATCCTGTCTATGCCATCCATATGTTTCTTCTTTCAGACAGTTGAATCTTCAATCTGTTTCTTTACAAAGTATTAAAAAGTAATATTTTTCTAAAGAAATATGTTACAGAGATGAGGAAGATATTAACTCATCTCTTGTGAATTCTAGTTTTACCTCCCCAAGAGCTTATTCTTAGAATCATACCAAGTCAACAGGATCCTTCTCTACAATCAGGTACATGCATGTATTAGAAAAATTTCATTGTGTATTATATTAAATTACTAAAGAATTTGGCAAAAATGAGGACTAAATATTAGTGGACAGTTTTGAACAAATGGTATCTCTTATTTTTAATCAGTTCCATATAATTTCCCTCTTAGATTGTTTTACATGTAAACATCCATAGCACACATTCTGAATCCTTTTAGCTTTCTGTTATGACATTTTCCAAAATAAAGGGAGAATACTGAAGTCTATGGGATTATGCTTCCCTCTAGTGGTACCAAGAAATATGTAGGTGGAGGAGAGAAAGGAGTCAAAGAAGAAATCCGAAGGCAGAAAATTTGAGCGGGCATAAGTTAGAAGTCATAACACATGCCCTCTTCTTAGTCCCATATTTACTACATATTTTGATAACTTGTGCCTTTTATATAACTTTTTATTTTGAACTATTCGAAATAGATTATTATCTGAGGCAATTTCTCAGCTACTTCTGTATCCAGCAAAAATACAAATAACCTCAACCTTAGATCTCAAGATGGGCCACGACACTCGGGGAGGAGGTGCCCTCTGCCCAGTGGGTCAGAATTGTTTGGGGGCTCATCTATAGCCAGACAGCCCACGTTGCTGAAAGACATTTTAACGTTCATCATCTATATTCTGGGAAAATACAGCCTTGTTTGAGATGGAGTTTATTTTTCTTTTTGTGACATTATGGACGGAACCTAAAGCATTCATTTATTTTTATGCCTTGGTAGTTAGCCCAGTGTCTATCTATTTTCAGATTATCCTGCTGACTTTAATCAGAAAAGGAAACTTCACATATATGTGGTTATTTGATTATTACTTTTACACATATATGTTATATTTGTGCCCTTGATAAAAGTTGTGATTTTCTGTAAAACCTTCTAAAATTATTATCACAAAGCAGATACACAGTGGTTAAAAACTATTTTTAGGTTATTTTTAACTGAAATCTAATTCGAAATCCTAAGTATCTCCTTTATTTACTAAGTGTATGGATCCCAATAAGGTGGTGAAGAATGGTCTCGCCCTCAGTAGCAAGGTTCTGTCGGTAGTGAATGCATTTCATGGTATTTTCCCCACGTAAATAAGAGCAGAGGGGAGGCTGATGGAAAATATGGCTGATTGAATGAACCTTCTTCTTGACGCACAAATGGTTGGACACGTGACTCGCGTCATTACATAAACCACAAAGAATTGGGCTTATCAGTCTCTCCTTGGTTTTATAATTTACACTAAGTGATTCCACAAAATAATTCTACTGGATTGGACAACTGCGCTTTTTTTTTCATTTACTTCTTTTAAATAACAATCCCAGCTAGGGCGAACATGATGTTTTTTTTTTTTTTTTTTAAGATTTTATTTATTTGAGAGAGAGAGAATGAGAGACAGAGAGCATGAGAGGGGGGAGGGTCAGAGGGAGAAGCAGACTCCCCGCCGAGCAGGGAGCCCGATGCGGGACTCGATCCCGGGACTCCAGGATCACGACCTGAGCGGAAGGCAGATGCTTAACCAACTGAGCCACCCAGGTGCCGCATAAAGGGTTGATTTCTTTTTTTTTTTTTTAAGATTTTATTTATTTATTTGAGAGAGAGTGAGTGAGAGAGAGAGCGCATGAGAGGGGGGAGGGTCAGAGGGAGAAGCAGGCTCCCCGCCGAGCAGGGAGCCCGATGCGGGACTCGATCCCGGGACTCCAGGATCACGACCTGAGCCGAAGGCAGTCGCTTAACCGACTGAGCCACCCAGGCGCCCCGCGAACATGATGTTTTAAAGCCAGAATTGCAAAGTGCTTCCTTGCCTCAGTTAAAAGTGAAACTAAGTTATGCCACACCATTGCTCCTTTAAAAAAAGATAATATTGTTTCCTTGTTTTTAGGTATCTGGATGGGAACCAATTTACACTGGTGCCTAAGGAGTTCTATAACTACAAACATTTAACACTCATGTAAGTAACGTATTGTATTTTTTTCCATCTTTGACTTACTCTAGTTCACCAAAGTGGGGGTAGCAAGGGGCAGAAGATTTAGTGAACCTTTCAGATAATATAAATCATTTACAGTTAGATGCTTCCCTCCTTCCTCATTGCAGTTCTGGATCAGTAGGTGCATCTTCATTGAGTATCAATCAGGCATCTTAGAGAAAGGACCTCCTCCATTCAAAGTACAAATATGATAAAGTCTAAGTATCAGAGAACTAGAGAAATGCAGTAAATTCGGTACTTCTACTGATAATGAACATGGGCTATTTTATGACAAGCCAAGAAAAGAAAGAAAGAAAGTAATGGCTTTATTCTTCTTGACTTTAAGCAAAAGATTGTGGATGATAGTAACTTTACTCATAATACATTTTATTAGGTTTGATTTTCTTATATAATACGCTCTAAGTTAAGTTATGGACTTCCAGTATTCAAATTTAATTTTATAAAATTCATTTTTAATTATACAGTATTTAAGTAAACTTGACAAAGATGCTGACATTCTGAGCATAAATTTCAGACACTGACTTTTCACTTTGCTTTGATGCCCTCGTAAAATAACATCTTTTTCATCAATGTAAATGATTTTTAAGTGATAATACAAGATTATATTTAAATATACCAACATTTCGATCTAGTTATATGCACAATATTTTTAAAGAGATAATCTTACTGTATATAATGTCATACTTAGAGTAGCCTTGCTGGTAATTGATAAAGCTTCTCAAAAAACAAACAAACAAAAATAAGCAACAGGAGTAAATATAAAGGGAAATACTTTATCTTTAGTTTAAGTCCTATCTTATTTTAGAGTAAATATGGCTGGCTGAGGAGGCCAATTTCTAGTGTTCCTACAACAAGGAGGTTGATCCCTAATTAGTGAATTCTAGAAATATAAGTCCCAGAAAGTGTTACATTTCTCAATGTAATCTTGGCCCTAGAAAGGTTGTGGTTGGTTAAAACACTGTTAATCCTTTTCAGTTTCCCTTAAACATGTAAGAAAATCACTTGGTAGAAAGTATGTAGGACTGTTTAAATGACAAATGATTAAATTAAGAAAGAGAGAACATCCCCTAAGATGTCTTGTTCTGCCTGCCTCTCGTTACTTATTTAGTAGCAGCAGGAACTGATTACATACATTTTGTTCTGTCAAATAAACCGTTAAATTGCTGCAATTTCCAGAGGGTCACTTTGGCAGAACTGGGTCATTTGTGGGACAGTATGCAATTATTTAAGACCAGTTTGGAAATGAAAAATGAGCATTTGTAGATCCAGAAATGGCTTTACCAATGACTCATTGTGCTACTCTAGGCAAATAACTGCTGCTAATAGACACACTTACTTACTTTCTGAATTTAGGGATAGTACTTCAGCAGCCGAGAGGATGGAGCATGAAGCTACTATAGCATTCCTATCATTTCTCAAGTTGTATAGGTTCATTTTACTGATATTTTGGTCATTTTAATAAAGGAATGGATAATCTTTGGTTTTTCTGCATTTTACATTTATTTATATATTCTGCTTTAGGAAACAGCAGTGAATATACACACATATAGTGATCATAAACCATGACCTAGAATTTTTCATTTATTCATGAATCTTCCTTTTATTTATGTATTTAGCATTCTGCAGTAGAGAAAAATTAGTGAATATATACATATCACTCTATGACTATGTGTATTTATATACTCACTCATTTCTTCCTATTGCAAAATCGCCAAAGATACATAATATGCCATTGTATATTATATATTATTATATTACGTTATATTGCAATATAATTATAGTTATAATATGTATTACATGTCATATCATATATAGTCGCAGATATATATAATAAAAAGAAGATCAAGTTCACTGAATATAAATCACAGCCTGTAGTACCAGTTATACTTGGCTATAAATAGCCATATAGCATTGGTTAAAAAACCCACATCTCTCTTATTTACTTATTAATTAAACCGATATTTATTAAGGACCTGCGTACTGTGTGCCAGTGATTTTGCCAAGGGCAGAATTTTTCATTATGGCATTGCAAATGTAACCAAATGAATGCTTTTAGTTATCAAATTTGCCTGTGTGTACCAGGGAAGCTGAAGAATATGCAACCAATGGAACGTTCAAGAACAAAGGTGTATCTCTCACACATAAAATGGGTCCATTGTGAGGGGCCTCCCCATGTCTTTGCTCTGGGACCAGGACGTAGGCCCTGGCTGTGGAACATCACAAGTCTTGCAGAAGAGCGAGCAGAGAGCGATACGGGAAGCGTGAGCTCGTTCTAACCTTCAGTTCTGAGGTGGCCGTACTTCCTTCACTGGCCAAAGCAAAACATTCTCACTTCTAGTTTCAACAGGCAGAGGCGTGAATAATTATGACTATTACAGTCCATCCCAGGGGTTGTCCAGTGTTTGGTTATTTTCAGGTAAAAGCTGAGTGCTGACAGTGTCCCTGTGACCGAGCAAGAAGAGCGTTCTCTTTGGAAGAATCACTAATATTTCACCTTCTCTGGTAACAGTTCACTCCATTTGTTTCTCTTTTCTCTTGTAGAGACTTAAGTAACAACCGGATAAGCACCCTTTCTAATCAGAGCTTCAGTAACATGACCCAGCTCCTCACCTTGTGAGTATGAAAATCTGGTCCTGAGTATTTATTAATTCACTGGACAAAATGCTGTCCCATTTCCAGGGACAATGGAAAATTTTTCCCATTTTCCAGGCACTTGGACGTTCTCTGTTAACAAGACAGATAGAGCCTGCTCTCAGGAAATATAAATATTGTTGGGAGAAAGAGACAAGAACAACTTCAATTAACAAACAACTACAGATATTTTAAAAACCTGTTGGGTTCCAGAAAAGAAACAAAGAATAATTTACGTTTGTGGTGGGGTTGGGAGAGATCCTTAAGAAGTCTGTCAGCTGAGGGAGGGAATAGTTGAGGCATTAGCATCGGCCGGGGCAGGAAGCATTCTAGACTGTATTTAGAAAGAAATAGGCTGTATCACTGAAAACACAAACAGTCACAAAATACTATACATCAATATTCCCAGTTTATAAAATGCTGAAACAACCTTTTTCATAGTCTTTTTATTTTTAAAATGACATTTAGCCATTTGGGGGTATCTGAGTAAAACAAATCTGCTATGTATGCTTTCAGAATTCTTAGTTACAACCGTTTGAGATGTATTCCTCCTCGAACCTTCGACGGATTGAAGTCTCTCCGATTACTGTAAGCATCTTATGGTCAACAAAATATCTCTTATCTCAGGGATCTGAGTTTGGGCTTGTGTTTTTTACCGATTTAACTGCTTTTTTGATTCTTGGGCATTTTCAGACATATATATTAGGATTTACTACAAATTTGGACATAGGAAAATTACATCTTTTCCTGTATCACTACTCTGCAGCCTTTATTTGGACGACACAACATTGTTGCTGTAGTCATTGATTTGGTAATAGATAATAGTAAGATGTATGTTTTATACAGATCCAACTCACTTTGAACAACATACAAGAAATTTTAATTTCTTTAAAAATTACATAATCAATGAGTACATTTTTACTATTAAAATGTATTTTATTTTATTTTAAAGATTTTATTTATTTGACAGAGAGGGAACACAAGCAGGAGGGAGTGGGAGAAGGAGAAGCAGGCTTCCCACTGAGCAGGGAGCCTGATGTGGGGCTCGATCCCAGGACCCTGGGACCATGACCTGAGCCGAAAGAAGATGCTTAACAACTGAGCCACCCAGACGCCCCTAAAATGTATTTTAAATATATGAAGTGAGACATGATCCCCAATCACAATCCCCTCCCCCAGAATTAATTAACAGTTCTATGTTGTCTTCTGGTCCTTTTTTATATGCATTTGTTTTTAGATGCTGATACACGTATGCCCACAGCTCTACACTTTCTAAACAAGCGTAAATAGGATTTGTTCTTGTTCCGTCATCGGCTGATTTTTATTTAACAATATTCTTTACAGTATTTCCATTCCATCATATAAAAATATTCCTTAGCTGTTTAACTCGTACAAGAATATTCCATAGGATGAAGGAACCATAGCTTACTTAATCATCCCCATCTATAACTCTCATGTGGTAGTTTTTTGGGTTTTGGGGGAGTTTTCTGTTGTTTTTTAGAGAGGGGGGGAAGGGCAGAGGGAGAGATTGAATCTTAAGCAGGCTGAATGCCCAGCACAGAGCCCAACACGGACTCAATCTCACAATCATGAAATCATGACCTGAGCTGAAATCAAGAGTGAGACGCTTAACCGACTGAGCTACCCAGGTGCCCCAACTGTCATGTGGTTTGAGTCCAGATTTTCATTATTCCATACAGTGCTGGAATGAACATCCTACACATTCATTGTACTGTCAAGTGTCTTGTGAGGATACCAAAAGTAACTGTGAGGTTTTTCCCTCCAAAACAAGAATTTGTCAGTTTACAAACTTATTTTCCACCAACTCTGTTTTAATAGAGTACTGTTACAAAGCACTCTGGAAAATATTGAATGGTATTAATTCTTTCATTTTTCTTCTGTGACAGATTGAGTACTGATTTTAATGGAGTACCTATTTCAAAGCACTCTGGCAAATATGGAATAATATTAATAGTTCTATGACAGATTGAACATTATTTTCCATTCCTGTCTTAATTTGAAATTCTAATAACTAGAGCATTTGTGTATATTTTATTTTTTTATTGATTACTTGTGTTTCTTATTCCATGGGCCTGATCATATCATTTCTGATTTTCTATTAGGTACCTTGTTTTTTCCTTATTAACACACATGTCTTTATGCATCTACTATTTGACTCTAACTTTGCAGGTCTTTTTACAAATGAATTAATCCTTGTATCTTATATATATTGTCAATATTTTCCATTCTGTTCCTTATATGTTATCTTTCATGTTATGGATATATTTTGTGTTGTCAAAAATGTGTTACTCTTTTCCTTTATGGTTTCTGACTTTTATATGGTGCTTTGAAAGCCTTTCCCAGGGCGCCTGGGTGGCTCAGTCAGTCGAGCATCTGCCTTCGGCTCAGGTCATGATCCCAGGGTCCTGGGATCGAGTCCCACATCAGGCTCCCTGCTCAGTGGGGAGTCTGCTTCTCCCTCTGCCTCCTCCCCCTGCTCCTGATCTCTCTCTCTCCCTCAAATAAATAAATAAAATCTTTTAAAAAAAAAGAAACCCTTTCCCATCCTATGTTTATAAAAAGGAGCTCTTCCCTATTTTCTTTTCGTATATTTTTAGTTTTGTTTTTACATTTAGCTCTTCAATCTAGAATTGACTTTATGCATATGATGTGAAATAGGAACTTTTTGTTTTCCCAAATAGATACCCAGTTACATCAAGACTGTGTATTAAATAGATCATATTTTCTGTACTGACTTAAAATGCTTATTGTAAACTAAAGTCTCACACATGTGTGAGAATTTTTCTGAACTCTCTGACATATAAAAAATTTAATACTGCTTTTTTTTTTTTTTTGCTTTTAGTTCATTACATGGAAATGACATTTCTGTTGTGCCTGAAGGTGCTTTCAATGATCTTTCTGCGTTATCACACCTGTGAGTACCTAGTTCGTGAATGTGGGTTTAGGGTCAAACTCACACACAGTCCTCTGCCATCTCTTCTATTGTCACAACATGAGATGTGGTTGGCTCCATCTTTAAAGAAAATGTGAAGATTTTCAACCTAGCTACAGGGCTTTCTGCAAGATAGCCTTCATTTATCCTTTTGGCCCTTACTCTCTATTATCTAATGGAGTTGAATTCTCTTTGCTTAGCTAAAATTGTCTTCTTACAAACATGTCTCTCCAGCTTCCTTGCTATGCCTTTTCTCTTAATGTTCTCTGATTCTAGAATACCAGCTCCCTTTCCATTCAGTCTGCCCAAATCTTGTATTTTCCAGGTGACATTCTAAGTATCATGTCCTTTATGAAGCCTATCTTGATTTGCTCAAACTGGATCCATTTATTTAGCAAATATTATTCAGTGCTGGCTATGGCACCGTGGAAAAATAAATTAGAGATGGTTTAAGCCTTTATAGTATGATAGTGGGGAAACTGCCAAATCCTCATACTGGGTGAAATGTTTTTTGTTTGTTTGTTTGTTTGTTTGTTTTCTTTGTGCTCTGTCTCATAACAGCCTGTTTGTATCTCCTTATGTTTGGAAAGTACAACAAAACAACATAAAAATATGTCATACACTCTTTTGGGTCAAATTCCATTATTCCATTATTTATAGGGGTAGTGTTGAGACCACAGCAAACCTAGAAGGAGGATCCAGGAACAGATTTAGGATCTAAAACTTTCTTAGCTCAGGTCCAGTTTGGTGCCCCCTAGTGGCAATTATGCTTCAGATTAAATAGCAGGTGCTATCAGTTGCCTACCAGTTCCCCAGAAACTGCCTGCCATATTCTCTCTTGGCTTTCTCCTCCCCTCCAAAACCCAACAAATCCCAAGAAGATATGTTTAGAAAATTGAGAAAGGGGATTGGCAGAGGATAGGAGCCAGGAGTCAATCATGCTATATCTGAACGTGCTTTATGGGGCTCTGGCAATCACTGTAGGTTTTGTGTACATCTGTCTACCAGACTCTTTGGTGCCTACTGTTAATATCTCTCTCACTAAACTCTAGGGTCCCAGGAGGCAAAACCTCCACTTTTTTGTGTGTGAACCCCAGCACCTACCTCAAAGGCAACATCGCCCCCCCCCACCCCTCTACAAATTCCATGGATGTCATTTGCATGAGATACAGTGTGATTAAGCCTTCTAGCTCAGGGGTGCAGAACTCGGCACTGTCTGGGAAAGTTTGCAACATTAAGAAGAAAGTAGTCATTCTGTTAGTGTTTGGGTGATTTATCCGAAAAGGCAGCTGAAGGAAGGCACTGCCCGAGCTGAGCAGATCTTTTCCTTCCGTGAGCGCCCCCCACCACCAGTAGGAGCAGTTCGAATTGTCCTTGCCATGTGTCTTGTCTGTCCTGTGTTTCTTTTATGCATTTGTCTTTGATTCTCTAGATCATAAAGAGCTCTGCTCCATTCACTTTTTCCACTGCGTCCCTTCATATAGGAAAGACTTAGCATTAAATGACTCCAAAACATCATTTTGCTCATTTTCAATTTCATAGAAAAGTTTGAATCTGAGCATAACATTTACTACACTCCAATTCTTGATTAGAGTTGGGCATTAAAACTGCTACCATATAAAGTATTATGGTTTCACAAGTATATTTTGGGATTTTCCTCATGAAAGAATAGGATTAATTTTGCTTGGACTACAGACCTAGAAGCATTACTATTCACAAGTTAATTATTTTTATAATTAAATCAGAATTAATCTATTTTTAAATGCCACCTTATGCATCTACTACTTGCACCAAGCTTGGCAAGTTTACAAAACCCATAGGTTGATGTCTCTGGCCTCAGTTTCTCAATCTGTAAAATGAATTATTAATACTATTGGCCTCCTAGAGTTGTTATTTAGGGTAAAATGAGGTAATTCATATCAAGTGGCTCAGCACAGTACCTGCATTTTGCTGCAATAAATGTTAGCTATCATCTTGATTACTTTTTCTATTACTGCTACTGCTTATGGGAGTGGGAAGCCAAGTTCTAAAATGAAGGACTTTGTGAAGGGACAGACATCTAGTGAAGGTCCAGATCCATTCTAGTGAACTAGCTCTATGTGTCTTTATTATTTCATGCCCTTTCTTATCTTGGTCCCTTCACACTTACTGGTCCTTTACCCTGAAACATCCTTCCCAGCCTTTTCCACCTCCTTAATCTAACGATGTAAAAGCTCAGGTTTTTAACTACCAGTCTCCCAGAAAATTTACCCCTCTGTTCACAGTCACCTCGTAAATACTTTTACTGTAGCACTTACTAATGAGAATTATTTGCATGTTTGAGAATGTGTTAATCACTTTCCCAGAAGCAGTTCTTTGGTGTTAAAAATAATGTATTATTTATAATTTGGGGCCCCAAAACCTGGCATAGTGATTGGGTCCTCAGTAAATCATTAGCGAATGAAGGAAGTATTAATCTGCGTGTCAGGTACGCATGTACCCAATATAAACCTGTCTCTGCAAATACAATAACACCTTGTGGAGCCCAGGTAAATTTTTAAGGCTAGTGACAACCCCCTAAGTCCCAGCTGCCCATAATTCAGGAAAATGGGGAATCCCCGATGTCTCCATTTTCTTCTAAATTGTTATCAATACATCTGTAGGGATTTTCTCCTGAGCACCACTTTGAGTTATGTTCCTTTAGGTAATAACAAAACATCCATACTGTGTGTGTGTGTGCTTCTGTGGTGTTGTTTTCCAGGGCAATTGGAGCCAACCCTCTTTACTGTGATTGTAACATGCAGTGGTTATCGGACTGGGTAAAGTCGGAATACAAAGAACCCGGAATTGCTCGCTGCGCCGGTCCTGGAGAAATGGCAGATAAATTATTACTCACGACTCCCTCCAAAAAATTTACATGCCAAGGTATGATTTTTAACCCTTTGCCCTCCTGTAAATAAAAGTTCACTGTATTCATTTAAAAGGAAAAACATGGCTGCTAGACCTCAAAGGTACAGCTGAAAAGCCCCTAATAAATCATGGCTAATGACTAATGACTGCTTGCACAGGACCGAGCAGTTCCCTGAGGAGCCCCAGTAAAGAACTGGGCTTTTCAAATAAAAACTGCAGAAGTGATTAATTGGAAATGTCGAAGTTTTCTTTAAAATGTATGGCGAAATGAAGAGTATGCGATTTCTGGAAATTTCTCTCATAGCCTCTAACAAGTACAATATTTTGCTTTTGGCTTGTCTGAACCTGTGCCTGGCTCCCAGGGCTGCCAGGGCCCTGTGGTTTCCTGACGCCAGGTAAGGAGAAGCAAGCCCTCCCAAGTGGTCAGGCCAAACCCTCTGACTCGCCTCCCATGTTGATGTGGGTGTCTCTTGCTTGTTTGCATCCCTCTCTTTTCCCCTTGTTTTATGTATCTGTGGATTCTAAATGGTGCCTTCATGACAAATACGTTTTCTTCTCTTATTACAAGATAATCCGTGCCTGATATAGAAAATCCAAATAGGAAAATGTTAACGACAACAAACATTGTATGACTTCGAGAGCTAAAATTATGCATTAATCACAATACCCAGAGATAACCACTACTGAACATGATTTTATTAAATATGTTTTATGTGTAAAACTATATCCTGGTATTGTGGAACTTAGAGAGGTGTACAGTATGGTCTTGCCTTCCAAGGCTTGCAAACCTAGCTGAAGAAAAACTTTCCACACTTGAACATTTTAGGTAGGAAAAACATCTAAGTAGGTGATACTGTGCACTGGGTCATGGTGTGAGTTTCCAGCTTCAGGTTCCGATAGTTAGATAACCTGAGTTTAATAGATTAACCAGCCTGTGCCTCAGTTTCCTCATGTGTAGGCAGAGATGATGATAGTACATACCTGAAAATGTTATTGTTAAGATTAGATATTACTACGTGTGAAATAAAAAAAAAAAAAGGTAAAGAAGATGCCAATGTCACAGAAACAGCATAGAATAGATTGCAGGGGTAGAGGGAGGGGGGAAATGGGGAGATATAGGTTAAAGGGCACAAACGTTGAGTGATAAGAATAAGTTCCGAGAATCTAATGTCCAACATGATGAGTGTAGTTAATAATACGATATTACGCTGGAAAGTTGCTGATAATAGATCTGAAGCGTTCTCACCACAAGCACACAGGGTTTAACTATATGAGGAGGTGGATATGCCAAATACTTGGATCTTATTAATCATTCCACAGTGTATGTATGTATCAAATCACCACATCATGCCTTTTAAATATATACAGTTATATTTGTCAGTTACTCCTCAGTACAGCTGGGGAAAAAGATTAGTTGAATTAATGTGTGTAAAACACCTTGCCTTGCACACAGTAAGCATTCGAAATAGGTTAGCTGACAATTTTATTATCATAACACTTTAGAACACCAACAACACTGTGATGTAGGACAAGCAATGTTTTACTGACCAAAGGAGGAATTTCTGAAAACCATATTCCCTCGAAGCATTTTTTTAAATGGCGTCTGATGTTTTTTTCAGAGCTATAAATGGCTGCAAATGATGTAGTTTGCAGTGCGCTGTAAATATTGACATTTTGAAACAAAACTCTTCCAGGGGCGTCTGTGTGGCTCAGTCAGTTATGTATCCGCCTCTTGATTTTGGCTCAGGTCATGAACTCAGGGTCATGATCTCAGGACTGTGGGATCGAGTGTAGGTCAGGCACTGTGCTGGGCGCAGAGCCTGCTTAGGATTCTCTCTCTTCCTCTCCCTCTGCCCCTCACTCCCACCACCCTTAAAGAAAAAACAAAACAAAACAAAACAAAACTCTTCCATTATTCTTCTAAATATATTTGATGGAATCTAAATATCACAGCTAACTTGAAAGAGACAAAAACAAGATCCTCTTTAGATTTTACATTATTCTTTTTCCTTGAACTTCTGTTTTTCTCCTTGAGTTTCTATTTCCAGTACCTTGGAGAATTGTCTCATTTTTTGCTCCAAAAGTATATATATAATTTGAATTTTTAAAATGTCCTTCAACCGGGCGCCTGGGTGGCTCAGTTGGTTAAGCGACTGCCTTCGGCTCAGGTCATGATCCCAGGATCCTGGGATTGAGTCCCACATCGGGCTCCCTGCTCTGCGGGGAGCCTGCTTCTCCCTCTCCCCCTCCCCCTGCT